TGTGTGTGTGTGTGTGTGTGTGTGTGTGTGTGTGTGTGTGTGTGTGTGTGTGTGTGTGTGTGTTAATAAAAACTGCATTAATCAATGATTTTTTTTCTGTGTGAATTACACACCTCACCTCACATACAGAAGAACGTTTGTGGTACTTTTTTTTGTTGATTGTTTAAGAGCAATAGAGTTAGTTGTTTATCGAATAAGGGCTTTTTTAAACACATACGCACTTGCAGCTAGCTAAACTTTACAGAAACAGGCTTAAACTAAAAACCTGTAATAAGGAATTACCATAAAAGAAAGTTTCGGTTTCGGTTGTAAAAACTAGTTTCAGTCGGACACTAAATATTTTATTTCGAAAGTAGTTTAAATGTAATTAATTTTGCTCGACAAGATTAGTAACATGCCTTGATATTTTGCGGGCATGATGCTGACCAATGTTGCTGCCACATTGAGTGAGCGGATAAAAGGGATGTAAAAACTCGTGATGGAAGGGCAAGGGAGAGCATTTAAATCTGTTTGTGTGTAGGCGGTGCCTACCAGCAGAATCAGAAAAAGCGGTGTATAGAGCTTGATATATGTCAGATTAAGGTTCTGTACCTGACAAGTTACTCTGCCTCTCTCGCGCTCAGGAGACATCGTTTACATATATAATATGTTACGGCAATACAAATGCATCACACACAGTCAGAAAATAACACGTGGTTTTAGCGATAATTGGCCAATTAAAATTCTGAATTTGTGATTCGAAATTGACCAAATTTAGCTTGAATATTAACGACATTATAGCGGAAAGAGAAAAGAGAGAATGTGCGCAAAAATACTAGATTTCTCTGTGTGCGTATGTGTGTGTGCATGTATTGGTGATTGTTGGCGCCCGGCAAAGTAGAAGGAGCGCAAAACGGCAGGAAGATTGTGCGGGGATGGCTTCTTACCGCAATCACCTGCGGCTATTTTAAAGACACTTCCACTTTAATTATACCAAACCGCTCTCGCGATATTACGATATTATGATATTACGAAGCATAAGCCGGGTCCCGGAGATTTAGGGTCGCGGAAAGTTTAAACTCTGTGCACACCCCAAAAACCCATACCAGTACTCCCGTTACGATTTCTCCTCGACCGTTATCTAACTTCGACGATAGCGTTACTGCCGCTTTCGTTTTCCAGTATTCCGAGAAAATACCTTATACTCACCTACCTCTCCCCTGAGTAAATATATAAGACAGTGTAAGACGTTACATTGCCGCAGTGATAACGGAACATCTAACGTAGCAATTCGTGCGGTCGTATTTTTCTGTAATGATATTACACACACACACACACTTCTGTAGAGAAATTTAAGTATCTAAAATTTAATTTATATTGTGCAATATATACGCGCGAGTTTTCTTTCAAGTGTCGTCGTTTTTTTTTTTTCGTTTTAGATAGATACGTAAATGTTTTCTGTGTTTTCTTGAATCAAGCAATTTTTCTACCAACAACACATATATAACGCGCGTCTAACCGTCGTAAAGTCCGCATTATATCGCACAGAAAAAAAATTTTAATGAGAAAGTAAAGTTCGCGGAGAAGCGCGCGGAATGGATTTGGTTCGCATTGGGGGCGCATTAGGGGCCGCACCTTCTCTCGAAAATTCGCGAGTGTAATCAGTAATCAAATTTATTAGTTTCTATTGTCTTGGGGGGTGAAATTCTTTTCCGATTTTATGGCGTGGAAAGACGATATAATAAGGAGAGAGAGCCGCCTCGAGCGAAGCTGCGAGTAACGAGGGAATAAGAATGGCTAGGCGGTCGGGGGTGGTTTCGGGGGCGAGCGCGGCTCCTTCGCGAGAGGGAGGAAAAGGGAGGGAGGGCAAGATTTACTGGACCCGCTAGTGGCCGCCAACTTCGCTAGGGATGCGCCTTTCTCGAAAACATTAAAGCTATATAATAGCGAGAACGCGAGAACTCTTAAACGATCGGTTTGAAGGACGATTTGAGACTGCTTATCGGATTTGTTATTCCGTAACGTGCAAAATTATTCACAGAACTGTGTCTCTTTCTCGAGACTCTTTTTATTTTCCTGTAAGAAAACTATAAATTTTACTCGCGTGCATGTGTTATTTCGACGCTAAATATTGTGACACGTATTTTGACAAACGTACAATCGGTGACGTTAAAGAAAAAAACATACATATATTGTTTTTGCGAAAAGCGATTATCAAATTCATTCCATTTATAACTGAAAATATACGTTCCGCGTAAATGAAAGCCGCGACATCAAGAAGAAACGAGGGAAATAACTCAAATTTTCCAGATTTATTAATTTCCGGAAACGTTCTCGAAGCCGCGAGCGTGTCAGGATCGATTCGCACCGATGACAAGAAATCTGTTGACTCAGGAGAAACGCGCGGGAGGTGGTGGTTGTAATAAAAATAAATATTCCCGGCATATGCGAGAGCCGCGCCGAGAGAGAACGCGGGGGTGTGGGAACGCGAGCGGGGACGGTAAAGTACGGAGGGGGTTGCGCA